ACCGACTATGGCAATTTCAAAAAAAACATCTTTCATGCTGTCCGACCCACACCATGCTTTTCATGTTTGAAACATACTGTTTTCACCCAGCCCCAACTCAGCAAAAGAAATTGCGCAAGTTACTAATCTCCTCCTTCCACTTTTGTGACGCCGTCACCAAACCAGGGATAACCGACGGCGCCTCCGTCCGGGCAAAGATCACCCAACTGGTGGACTGCTTCAGGATATTGATTGTATCCTCCTGCCGAATCACCACTCTGCAAAGGAGCTTGAGCAGCTCGTCGGCACCGACTTCCTCGTTCTCCATGTTCTTGGCCGTTGCCCTCTTGCTGGTGCGATTGGCCCTCCATCCGTGGCTCCCCGCGCCCCTTCCTGCTCCGGACGGAAGTCGGCTTCGTCCAGCAGGGTGGTTTGCGCCCGCTTCCCTGCCATGCTCATCACAGCTCCGAATACCTCCTGCATCTGGGCCTCCGCCTGTGCTGCTGTGAGCGCCATGGTCTCCCTGCTGTTGATGGAATTGGTGCGCTCTAACTCTTTCCAAGGCAGTTTGCATGATGGCATGACAAGAAATCGCATGTCTGTACCGCTTATCATACTTTGAGTTACAGAACTGGCAGACTTTTACATGAAGCCCCGTGGACCACGCGGAACATAACTTATCAACCTGAGATCGAACCAGCTGCCAGTAAGGTGCATGCTTTTGCTCCATGCGCTTGCGCAACCCTTTGGCAGTAACAGCTTCTGCACAGATCTGACACTTGAGGTCCCATTTCTGTAACGTGTCCTCCGCGGGCAGTGATAGGTTAAGGGTTGACCAATTCCCCTCGTCAGCCTCCTCAACATCATGCAGAATGGCCCAGACCATACTGAGCTGAAAAAGGACCGGACACGTGTCCCTGTGATCCGCTCTCGGCGCTGCCTGACCTCCGCACCAACTGCACGTTCCCTTTATGGGGCTGAACTGACCTCTCCTCCACTGCTTTGTGGCCGCGATGTGTAGCTGGGATTCGGACCGATGTACCCTCGTCCAGTGCTGCCTGACATACCTGTCATTGGGAACCATTGTCGGCAGTAACTACAATGCTGTAATAGTTCTCGCTGCAGGGCCTCCGGCATGTCTCCACTCTGTATTTGCGCGAGGTCAAGTTCACCATCCTTCGTCCTCGTCAGTACCGACTTGACCTGTTCAGACTCAACTGGGATCCGACCTTGACAGTGATTCTCCTCAATATGCTTCTGCAAGTCCGCCCACCTTTCAAAGGCATGCCCGCATCCACTGAATTTGGGCATGCCATCCGTCCCGTGCACCTGTCTATCAAATATGGCGGGCGCCGCACTCATGCGCTCTGCACTGTGCATCTTTGCCTTGTGATCGCTCGAATCTGCCTGCCTCGTGAGCCCTGAAGCTCCCAGCGAGTAAAGGGTAGCCGGCACAACGAAAACCTGCCACAGCCGAAGCCGCTTCGTCAAAGATAGAGCTCTTTGTGACATGAGCGTTGGCCTCAATCTGGCAAACGCCGCCTGCCCAGCCTGCTTGCGATGCTGTGCATTCTGCAACTCAAACGCTCCATACGAGATCTTAGCCCCCAAGTACACATGTTGTTTGCGCAATGGTAGTTGCCACCTACCATCAATACACAGGATACGTTCCTCCTGCTTGTTCTTCTTGTGTATCAATTTGCGCAGCATGTGTGGGACCTGTACTCCTTCCGCCCTCAATAAGCAAACCGTCTTGTCCCTGCTTAGCAGAAAGCCCATATCTTCGAGGAGACTGAGTACCGTTCCCGCCTCCTGCAATGCCAAATTGATACCCGACCTGTCGCTAAAGAGCCATCGGAGATGCAAGTCATCCGCAAATCCAACCAAGTGCTGTTGACTCCACGGCATACCCAAAGTTTGATCAATCCGGTTCAGGATGTAGACGAAGAGACAACACCATAGTGTGGGACTGAGCTTACATCCCTGCCGAATACCCTTGTCAGAAGAATACGAGCACTGCGTGTCTGCTTTGTGAATATGGAAGGTAGTGGCCCGCACCCAGCGCTTGATGAGCTCTTGAAGGTCAGTAGGTACCTCCAAAAAGGTCAGGGCTTTGAAAAGTAAACCTCGATCAGCTCGATCAAAGGCCTGAGAAAAGTCAACGCTGATCTGCAGTCCGCCCGCACACTGACTGCGGACTTTACCTGAGCGCAGCTCGTACAATGACCTGGTCTGTGCCTTGGCTAGGTCACGCGCCTCTGCGCAGGGGGCAAAAACCAACTCCAGCGCCTGCTGCGGCGATCTCTGCTGTATGTATCCAAACAATGGAAGGTACTTCGCTTTGTCCATCAGATATGGGACGAGATGCATCTTCAACACCCCGCACACTGCCTTACCCATGGGATCAAGAAGTGAAACGGGCCTCAGGCATGATGGATCAGTACTGGTCTTCCCCGGTTTATGTAGGAATACCAACCACGCCGCCGCCCAGTCACCAGGTACTTCCGCCCTGTCCTGTCGCCATTGCCGAAACATCTGATCCTCCACGTAGTCCGCAATTGGCTCAGCGGCCAATTTCCAGAAGACGTGCGGAGCGCAGTGCTGCGGTGCAGATTTGTTAGCCTGCAATCCCCGAATCGCCTCCGCAATTTCATCCCTGGCAAAGTTGTAACCCGTCATGACTGGAATGTTACTCTCATTTTCTCTGCCATTGACCGCCTTCCAAAAGTCGCATAGCGCTACCGCCTCCGCCCCCGGTGTCATGAGCGCGCCTTCCTTGGTTCTCAACTGAGCCCTGCGCCTGGCCTGTTTCGGTGCAATTTTTCGCAGCAAATCGAACAGGGCTTGGTTGCATCCCGCTTGGTTTTGAGCTTCCGCCTGCCGAGTAAGAATGGCTAGCCTTGTTCTTCTCACGCTGCGTGCCTGTTGTTGTACGCGCCTGTGAATCTTTTGGAAGCTGATCCTGTGTCGCCAACCCTCAATGACGCTGCGCAGGAAGGAACGTCTGCTGGTCCCATCAGCAATAATTTGTCTCATACTTCTATAGTGATCCCACATTGTGCGAATTTGCCCGACATATCCCGCCTCCTCCCACGGTGGTTTGGCGGCAGATGGCCGCCGTATCTGGAAGATGTCGTTGCCAACCTGTAATAATAGTAATTGATTCAGTTGTCTAGGTTCATACTCCCCCGCCGTGCGCAGTCGCTGCTCGACCTGCTGACGGAACTGTTCCACCAGGCCAGAATTCTCACTCGCCGCCTGGGCAAGAAGCTTACATCTCCAACTGGGCCATTGTTGAACAGTGGGCGGTAGAGAAGTCCGAAACCTCTGCACGGCAAAAGTAGCCCATGTCGGCAAGTGTCGGCCCCCTTGCCGCCACTTTGCAACCGTCCATTCCTTGACTGACCATGCCAGCTTTGTACTGCCCCAGCCCTCTTTGCCGCAATGCTGTGGTTGGTGGCCAGAGGTCTATTGGCGTCTGCGTAGATAGGCTGAAGCCAGGGCTTGAAGGAACGAAAGAGCTTGCAAAGCCACTGAAGCAAGCCCAGGATCTTGTCCAACGTTCTACGATGAACATGGCGTCCAGAAAGGGCTTCCTGGAGCAAACGCTTAAGCTTGAGGGACTTGTCCAAAGGCACGCAGAAAGTCCCACTGCCAAAACCAAAGTGCCAGCCTATCCACACTATGCCCCTGCCAAGTTGCAGCTTGGCGTGTGAAATGGGGATGCCGAACATGGCGCAGAAGGCAAGGACAAGGCAAGAGAACAGGGCTATGACATCCTCGTCCTGCACCACAAGGGAAGTCATCCACGTAGCCCAACAGTGCATGGCGCAGCCAAATCCAGAGATGCAGAATTCTAAGGAAGAAACTGCCAAGGC